CTGTATATTTATATAGTCTACTATAAATATAAAAAACTTATTCCAGTCCAGTAAAATAGCAGATTCTATCTATTACAAACTTTATATATATATTTAGTTTAAATAGTTTATAGTTATACTTATCTTCTCTGTTAAACAGTTTTATATTAGGGTGTTAAAAGCAGGGTTTGTAATTTAGTTTATATAGTTACTATAAGGGGTTTCCCTCTAATTTACTGTTAATAGTAGAAGTTATATTATAATTCTGTAATTTATTTATCTATTTTTTAAAAGTTAGTTTTTGTTTTACTATTTCTGTACAGAGGCTGATTAGCTTTTGTAAAAAAAGTTATATATTATTATATATAGCTGCAGATGCTGCGGTCGGCTGCAGTTTTTTTTAATTTATTTATTTTATTATTCTAATAATTTTTTTAGTTCTATTTTATTCTATTTATATGCCTAGTTGGGCTCTGTTTAGGGCTTTTTTTAATAAGCTATTTCTAATATTATAGGATGGATGGATTGTACTAATCAAAACATGCCTTAGAATAAGAAAAAATAGCTGAGGAGCTATTTTACCTGTTTGTACGAAATTCTTTTATATGTGCGCTAAGCTAGTGCTAGTTTAGTACTTAGTATGCGAGGCCTCAGGTGCCAACTGGTGCCTGAAGCCGAGCTCTATAACAGGGCCTTGGTCCCATAACAAAAAGATTACTGCCAAAGCTACAGTTAAGGCCCTAGTTAAAACAGTTTTTAAATAATATAGTTTTTTAAAAACTATAGTTTTAGATTAAGGCACCCAGTTTACAAGTTGTATATAGAAAAAAGTATATAATTTATTAAAAATTACTAAAAGATTATCTACAGCCTATTATTTTTAAACAAACAGAATAATAGAATATATAAATAGTACTATTAAAATATATCTAAAAGCTTATACAGACTATAATTAAAAAAACTGGATAAACCTACTGCTTTTAATAGAATTGGTAATTAACAGCTGTATAAGTATAGTTATAGGATTTTTACTGTTTTTTCTAAGCTATAGTTATAAGTTAAATCTAAACAGCTAGAAAATAGTTTAAAATATAGATCTGAAGGTTGCTGCCTCCAGCCCTACCTAATAAAAAGATATAATTATATAAAAAATATATAATACTTTAAACTAGGCCTAAAGTGCTATAGCCTATATATAATAAAATACTAAAAAACAGGCTAATTAATCCCAATAAGCCGCCCTATTATACTAAAAGGGTAATTAGATATAGTTAAGCCTATAGAATATCTATATAAATTATCCTAGTAAGAAGCTAGATTAAAAAAATATAAAATATACTATTTTAAAAAAAAATAGGATTATATACTATATAATTTAATATACTAAAGAGTATTTATTTTATATTTTATATCAACCTACTTTGTCCAACAGCTAATAATATATTACTATTATAAAATAAAGAAGACTTACAACCACCACCTATAATAATTAATAGTAAAAAAAATATAAAATTAAAAAAATCCTTGACAAACAGTATATAATAAAAAGCTAGAAAAGCTAATTATAGTATTTTATTAAATAAAAAGACTATACAGAACTAACCTGGGAACTAGTTTTAGTACTTAATAATATAAAAGCAGCTATAAAATAGCAGCTACAGTCCCAGCCAAACCCTAACTAACTACTAGATAATTAAAAGTTAGAATAAAAAAAGAATTATACTAATATTTTTTCCTTTTAGCTCTAGTTCGTACAAATCTAAAATAAAAAGAAAAGAAAAAGAAATAATAAAAAAAAAAAAGAAAGTCTTTTTTAATTTTTTAAAACTAACTAAGGGGAGCTGTGCTTAATCTAATAAAAAAACTAAATACTGCCATACTAAATCCAGCTTATATACTAATTTAATCTACTAATTTTTTAATAATATTTTAAAAAAAAGCAGCAATAGCTGCGGGCTTATATTTAGGCTTGTTTAGATTATAGTAGCTATAATATATACTATAATCTTTAAACTTATAGTTTATATAGATTCTATCCTACTATCCAGACAGCTGTACAGTCTGTTAGAACTTTATCTAATTATTATACTTATAATAATATAATATTACCAAACTACGGGATGTAATTAAAAGGCTGTTAATATAAAAAAAGCATCTGGTATATATTTAACTTTATTAGTATTTTATATAAAAATACTATTAAACTTTTTTATCTAAACTACAGTAAAAGCACTAACTTTTATTTTAAATTTATAGTAAAAAAAATACCAAACACACTGCTAGTCCAGAGTATAGTAAAGTTAAAATAAAGCTTTATTTTTATATATTATTAATTATATAGTAATCCAGCGCTCTGTATTACCAGTATGGGGGTTATAAATAATTATATATTATATAAATAAAAAAAATAAATTATAGTTAGCAAAAGTAGAAAAAATCTAAAAAAGATTATAATAGATAAAAACTAATATATTATTTGGATAATCAGGCTCACTAGCCCCAGTATTAAAAAAAAAGATATAATATTAACAAGTAGAGGAAACAACAGGAATTATATAGATAAAAAAAAAAACAGATTAGTAATAAAAAAAATAAAAAAAAGATGTGTAAAAAAAAAAGCTAAAAAGAAGGGGGGGGGCCTTTTTATATAGTACTTTATATACTTTATATAATACTAATAGCTAAGCCCGACCACACCCCCGGAACCGGTTGTGTGAATAGTATAAAGAGAGATTCCATTCACTGGATAAAAAAGAAATATACAGAAAAAAAAGATTTTATTTACTAAATAAAAGGGAAATATACAGAAAGAAGGGATCCCATTTACTAGATAAAAAGGGAACATACAGAAGAAGAGATTCTATTTACTAAAAGATTACTATATTTACTAGATAAAAGGAGTTTGTATAAAAAAAAAAGTTATAGTAAATAATATAGGTTCTATCTATGTATATATTATCTACTAACCAGCTATAATATTATTTAAAAAAGGTTAAAGTACAGAACTGTTACTCTGGACTCTAAACAGCCGTTTGTACAAACAAAAGCTGTAAAAAATATTAAAAAAAAAAAGGGGCTTCTGTTATAGAACTAAGGCCCTGTTATAAAGCTTAGCTTTAGATACTAGTTGGTACCTAAGGTCTTGTATACTAAATACTAAACTAACACTAGCTTAGTATATATATAAAAGAATTTTGTACAAACAGATAAAATAGCTCCTCAGCTATTTCTTCTTATTCTAAGGCACGTTTTGATTAGCACAATCCATCCGTCCCATAACAGGCTTAATAGTATCTTTTAAAAATAAACTAAATAAATATAATTAATTTATAATTTTAAGACTACTCTGTAAGTAATAGATATAAAAAAATAAAAACAGAAAATTCTATAAAAGCAGTTTATTTTATTTTAAAATATATTTTTATATAAATATAATTTATTATATTTTAATATACAGCTAAGGCGCCTGCTGTATTTTATTTATTTTACTAGATTTAATAAATAAAAAATTATATTTGAAGCCCAGAATTATAGATATTTAAAACCAACTAGATAAAATAAATTAAAAATCTTATTTTTATATCTAAAAAAGGCTTTTACAGAACCTACTATAAAAAATATAGTATCTAATATTAAACTAGATAATTATTAAAAAGTATATTTACTAAAAAAGACTAAGTAAATAGTATAGTATAGGATTTTAAGCAGGTTTGGGTTAACAAAATATTTAAAATTATTAAAATTAAAAATATTAAAAAGTTAATTAGAATAATAAAGTAATTAAAATTAGTAGTATTAAAAAGATTAATTAGATTAGTAAGATAATTAAGATTATTAGAATTAAAAAAATTAATAAAATTAGATATAAAAATTTATACTATAATATATATAGTCTAAATAAAGCAGTAATTATATATCTTTATATATATTTCTTACTATAAAAGTAATAATTTTATTAAAAGCTAGAATTTATCAGCACTACTAGGAATTTCTTATTATTTTTTAAAAATAAAAATAAAAAGAATAGTAATACTTTATTTAATTACTTTTCTTTAATTTAAAAAGCTTTTTTTATATACTTTTAGATAATAGTTAAGATAGTTAGATTAATAACCTATTAATTTAAATATACCTTAACTATACTAAAGCTAAAAGGGGTATAGTAGGTAGGTTTTAATATTAAAAATAATTAAAATAATTAACTATCTGATTTTTAGTTATACTACAGTTAGGTATAAAAATTTTCTTAACCTGGCTATAACCTGGCGGTTAGATATAAAAATTCCAATTAACCTGACCTGACCTGGCCGTTAGCCACTCTATATAAGATAAGCTTTTAGATACTAAAGAAAAGTTAACAACTAAGATGATTTTTTATTTTTTTTAATTCTAAATATATAATAGTAGTAGAGATAGACTTCTTAGGCTATAATATAAAAAAATACTCCCATACAATTTGGGTTTACCAAATGGCTGCCACTTTCGGCGTCAGTCGACGCCTTTTTCGGCCGTCATTTGGTAACACGTGACCTCTCCGTCCCGACACGCCTCCGTCCCGCTACCACCACGCACCAGCCAGACCCACCCGTAGACACCCCAGCAATCCAGTTGCCTCCGTCAAAGTGCTTTCGACTTGGACGCTTTGCGAAGGCGCCAAAAATGGCCTCCCTGCACCCCATTAAATGGGACCTGGCCACAGGCCAAGTCACGACGGCACAAACCTGCCATCGTGGCGTATTTCCCTTATATTCTTCGTTCTTCTCCCCATCCTGCTCCCTCATCGCGAGTGTATCCCCCCATCCCTCCTGCCGGCCTGTCCAGAGGCCCCTTTCCTTCACGTTCTTCGTTCTTCTTTCGTGCGCCTTTCCTGTCTCCTCGACCTTGGGTGTATCTCCCAACACATCTGCCACTCGTCCTTCTATTAGTGCACTGCTAGCCGCTTGACCATATCGTGGTTTCGTGGTCTCCATCCCTCCCGCGTCCTTACCGTCGCCGTCCCTACGCCTCCTGCGATCCCACCAATGAAGCGCTCTCGATCCCAGAGAAGTAGAAAGCTGGGAACCGCCTGTAGCGAGGATGATATAACTGCGACACCTACTAGCGACTCCGATGAGCAAGACGATGCTACCTATGAGACGGATGTGACGGAGGCGGACGATGCTCCAAGCCCACGAAAACGTCTCCGGTCGGATGAGAATTGCACTGCCTTGGAGCTAGAGGTCCCTGGCGAGTCAGGAGAATTCTACGATGATCCACTAGATGACGATGGAATTGATCTGTCTGAGATTCCTGAGGATTTCGACAAAGCACCGGGCACCATTGAACGACGAGAGCGGATTGAGACCAGGTGGAAACGGTTGGTGATGACGGAGATTTGCCTTGTTTGACTCCTTACTAATACAGGCATAGGTACTGTGTCAGCCAAGTGTTAAACAAGCCCAACGAGCCAAAATGGCGGGAGCCTGAGGAAGCGCTACGCCAGGCGTCGAACAATGACATGTATCGGTTCCTAGGCTGGTATCTCAAGCTCGAGCGTGGCAAGAATAACCGACGGTTAAAACGTATCAACAAAGCTAGCTCGCTGAATACGGAATGGAAAAACCTTCGTGGTTACTACCAAAAGCTTACCAAGATCAAAATCAATGATGAGGATGGCTCGAATGTACGGAGGGTCAGTAACATAAACTTGAATTTTTTCTTTCTAGACCTCTCTAGTCATCTCGTCTAACCGCAGAAGACAGGGCATGAAGTATTTGGTCCAAGAGCACGGCTTAGACACACAGCCTGGAAAGAAGACGCCAGTTTATATCGAGGATATCGGGCCATTTAACGAGACCATTTTGTCGACGCAGGAGAAGAAATTCTACCTAGGATTCCAACGCATCCAGGTGTGCCTGTTCAACTCGCTCGCTTTGTTCACTGTGCACCGGAGGAACGCTTTGTTAAGCATGCAATTCAAGGACCTGCAAATCTCCCTTCAGAAGGACCCTCGTGGAGGCCCACCCATCCCTATGATTGAACTTACTCCCGAAGGGACCAAAAAATTCCTCAGCCTGACCAAACTGTACGGTGAGCACAATTTCTGCCTCCCCCTCCCTCTCGATTCCCCGGCTACCCCCAGATACATACTATCTTTCTCGTCCCCGGAATCTCTGGCCAGGGTCATACAGCTAACTAATCAGCAGGACTACTTTTGCACTTCCCGAGATTGTTTATGGTCCCTCTCTGGTAATATGCCCGCATACATTACTTTTCGGCATCCTGTTTCATGCACGCGCATTCCGGAATTCGAGGCTGACCTCGAAGGCTCAGCTAAGGTAACTCTTTATCAGCAAAGGCTGTGAGCAGCTCCTGGTGCCCTTAGACCCGAACAAGTCTGATTTGTTATATTCTGTAAGACAGAGCTGGTCAATGGCGTTCCCACCCTTCAGCGGACTGTGCAGATGTTTAAGTCGGCCATGTCCACCTTGCTGGTCACCTTCGGAGAGATCCGTGGGTGGAAAGGGGCATTCCATGCCCATCAGTTCCTTTATGGAAGTGGTAAAGTCATTAACGAGAGCGGTAAGTACTTCTACTAATAATTCTCTTTCTTTTTTCCCGTCAGTGGCTAACGTAGTCCGTAGGGTGGGTGAGCAAGGAACAACACATGTTGATCATGAAGCACGCCAGCCCGCGGATGTTTCTCGACCACTATCATCCTCTACAACTCGATACTGATATGATCCGGGTTATCTATGGCCTCGACCCAGATGTGGAACTGATGCGAGCCGTCACACGACAAAGTCGTTGGCGAGATATGCGACGCCCACGCTATTTGACCGATCAACAGAGGGCACAACTTGAGGATCATCCCGAGTTGGAAGAGGCCCGGCGCAATTTAAGTAAGATTCGTGCCCAATACAAGAAGACCCAGCAGCCCGCCCTGCGCCCTCGGATCCAGCAACTGGAAAGAAATGTGAGAAACACACAAAAACGGTTGCACAGGAGCTTGCGACATAAGATCCGAAAGAATTTTGATGAAGAGCAAGCATTTCTGAATATTGAGGCGCAGCTGTCTGGTACAATGGTTAAGGAAGAGAGCAAAGATGAGTCATTCTTAAAGGACACCATACATCCCCTTCAGTTACATCTAGTGCAGAGTCTTCTCTCCTACCCCATCTCTAACTCGTTGGAGGACGAGTGGAACTGGCGCGATACAGGCGCTGCAGCCGTTGTGCAGTATTGTGACGTCCTGGAAGGAGGTCTATTAAAGGGCCGGCCTAAGCGGAATGTCTCTGGATCCGCTACATCGCCTGGTCCCATAAACCAGCCGCAAGATACAGGGCAGACCCAAAATGCCGCCAACTCATATGCACTACCTTTTTCTGTCTCTGGCAAGCCGTCGTGTGCCACTAAGGAATACCTCGAGAATTTTGAGAAGCCAGAGGCTGGTTTTTAATGCTTTGCAAACAAGGGGCTCCCTGACCGTGTTTGCTTCCAGATGTATCATAACGCTGGGTGTTTTACGCGCCATTTTGGCGCTATTCATCTCAGAGAAAAGCCATTTAAGTGCAACTGGTGTGAAGTAGCCTTGCTACATCAAATGGCGTTCCAGCGCCATGCATTTTATGTGCATCGTGTGCGCAGTTGCAAACATTGCCCGAACCCGGTGCAGGAAGTTCAGAGACAAGAATGAGCAGGCCATGATCCCGAACGGCAGGCAAGCGAGGAGACCCGGATAAATATAGGTATACACTGTCTGCCTCGTCGAGGCGGCGCATGGAACGCTATACGCTAGTTTTATAACTATCACGGCTTGATGTCCAATCGTGCAATGCAGATTAGGATATTGCGATCGCACGATGTCCAATTATTTCCAGGGGCTGAGTTTATCACTCTTGGTTCTCAGGTATATAAAGGGCCTCCTTCCCCCAACTGGTTGCATGCTCTGATATTCTCTTTCCGTCTTCCCAGGCCGGCTTCTATCGACATTCCTCCCCTGAGCGTGACAACTAATATCAAGATGGCAAGCCCATTCGACACGATTATTATAACCGATGATGAGGAATTGCCAAGCCTCGAGCCAGGTAGTTCACAACCTCGGAGGGCCTCTTGCCGTGATTACAGTTACCGGAAGTTTGAGAACCTGGTCGTTGAAGCAGTCAATGAAACGGAAACAACACCATCACATAAATGCAAAAGAACTGAAACGAAGGAGCCGTCTGCACTGGTACTAGTTCCTCACAAGGCCTTCTTCTTCCTTAACTAACAACGGACCAGGATAACGCCTTTGAGGAGCTCCGAAAGGCAGTTAACCATAAAATTAAACAGCTACAAGAGAAAAATCGCAATCTTCGAGATGAACTTCACCAGGAGAGGGAGAGGCACCAAAAGGAACTTTTTCAAGTAAAGGAGGAGCACCAAAAGACGCAGGAGGAACTTTCCCAGCAAAGGGAAAAGCGTGTTTTAGAGTGCAATATCTGCTATAGACAGCCAGATCGCTGGGTGGTCATTCAGTGTGGGCACATGTTCTGCAGGTCATGCTTTAAAGCTCTTAGAACAGAGGGCTGTCCAACCTGCCGAAAAGAAATGACGGGATTTATGGGATGCTACCCTTTTGCAGGATAAAGCATGTATATTGTGTTGCAAGTCTAGTTCAATGACTCGAGTTCAAGCCGTTTTTGTTTTTCCGTGTTGCTTTCCCACATACTTTCGGCGGGATGGCTGAATAGTATTAATATCACGTGGAGGAGCCCTAACTACGCGCATCTTAGCGCCCAGTTATTTATTGCCCAACCCGCAAATGACCATGATTTTCCTTAGGAACAAATCGTGGTCTTTTCTATGTTCAAAAATTGAAAAGTGCCCTTTGCACACTTTGGCTAGTACAACCTCCACCACCAAAAAAGACCGCAGTGGAATATGCAACTCATGACCTCCTATCTCTTGTCTACCGAGAAATATTTAGCATACTTACTCACAGGTTGTGCAATCCCGTAGATTGATCCACAAATACTCGAGAAGCTACCGCTGACTACTAGTCGCCTTGCCTGACTTCAGCGTGCAAGGAGTACGGCACCAATTGCATCTCAGTAGCAGTGAGATTCATCTGAGTGAATCAGCCCAAAAGGTCGTTCACAATACTTACACTGTCCAAGGGAATTTAACCTTGCTACAATAAACGACAGCCCTTGTTGAGGTTTGAGAAAGGACTCCACGCCAAGAGGTTTTAATTCAGCCAATCAGACCCACGCCCCGCCAAGAGCCACTCTGGCCGAGGACAAAGCAAAGTGTCTCGAACCATGATTCTTATTTGGGTTGGTCTGCTTGCTGGTTTGTACATGGCGGATCGAACATACTTATTTACGTTCATCTCGGCTCAAAAAAACAACACCCAGTATCCCCTAGATGTTACGTGCTTGAAAGCAGATCAGGTCAACTTGTGCATTTCAACGAAAATATCAAGACTGATGAGAAGAGAAAAGAAAAGATGAGACAAGAAGACCAATATCTAACTGGAATCACCCATAGGATGGAGTTCTTGATTAAAGAGATTTCAAACGCCGGCTCCCAGTAGCTGAATTGCTTCTAAAACTATTTCTTTCGACTTCTGGAGGTCCTGCGCGTGTTGATTCTTCTTCTCTAGTGCCACATTCTCAAGCCACCAGGGCGCTATATTGTCTTCCAATCGAGAAAGAGTCGTTGCCTCTCTCCAATATTGATCTTTGATGCCTTTTCTTGGAGTATTCATTCCCCAGGCCTCGAACCTACTCAAGTACGCTTCGTAAAAAGCATCGGGCCAGTCGCCTTTATTTGCCACGGAATCATTGACAAATTCATCCAATTCAGGGAAAAACCCAGAAAATTCAAAGTCAATGATACCAGTGATCTTCGTGTGATCCGCAGACATCAAGACATTGCGTGGAGAAAGGTCGTAGTGTGTGAACAAGAAACGATTTTTCTCACTGCCTATTCCGAGTTTCGGCAATTGGATAGCAATAAACTCTCTGATCGGAGGGATTAAATGCCTGTTCCTAGCAAAAACATCGAGTTCCTGAAGCTTCTGGAGCCGTGTCTCAAGCCTCACTCGGTAGTATTGAAGCTGGCCTATGATAGGCTCGAAAACTTTGACACCAAAACCAGGCATGTTTGAAGAAGACGTAATGCGCAAACCGGCAACTTCGAATGAATTTGGATCTTGTTTCTTCCCATGAGGAAGTCCACATACCAGGTTTCCAGCAGTTGTCGAAGCAGGGAGCGACTGTCTCCAGCGGTAGACCATATCCGCTAATTGCTCGCCGACGACCTTGAGCTTGTCTGTATCCAGATTCAACGTCGACAAAGGAACTCCAGGAAGTCGAGTCATTAGGATCCAGCCCTGGAGTTGTCCGTCGGCTTCGGAATTAATCGCGAATTGCTTTGTTGCTAAGGTTCCCACGACAGTCAACTTGTGAATGACGAAATTCTTGCTGTCAGACCAGGCAAGAACCCTTGGTGACGGAATTTCGGGCACAAAATACTCAAGAAGAGATAAGCAGGACACCTCATTTTCGCTTTTCGTCTGGTCAAAGAACTTTCCGTTCAGTTTCAAAACCAAATCATTAACAGCTCCGTTCTTCAGGCCGTGTAAGAGCAGGTCGTCAGGAACATATATCTTCAGAAAGTAGATGCGATTGTTGAATGATTTGCCATGCTCTAGAGGATCGATAGCCAAGATGTTGCATCCGGGAATAAGGAAATCAATTATGCTGACAATGGTTTCTCTCGAGAGATAAACCCCCTGAGTTGGATGAATTTCTGGAGTAGTCTCACGCGGACCTAAAGTGCTTTCCATGAGGGCGGTGTAGGGTGGTGTAGAATGAATGCTCTAAGACATGTGAAGCAGGTGATGCACGGCAAAAGGGTGAGAAGGGTGAGAAAGGACAAAACGGGATGTGGAAAAGGAGGAAGCACGCCGGCGATCATATATCACTAGAATTGGAGCTTTGCTATGAGACACTTGTGATGAATGTGGAGCCCCCTGTAGATTAGGTGCAACGATAACCCCCTCCCCTAATTCTAATTCTGCAGAGTTTTGGCACTCGGCTATTTGACATTCTGCCGAGAAACAGGCCCAGGGCCAATATATCACAGCCTTCGAAAGCTCCCTCGCTCATTCCCGTTCCAAGATCCTTTGCCTCTTGGAATATTCGACATACCGCATCCCACCACAATGCGATGCCGTACTTATAATTCCTTTGGGTGGCTCGGTGACACGCGGTGTGGAACTGGATATAGAAATCCTCTGTTAGAAACGTGTCGGAACAAGAAGAAGCCCGAATGACTAAAAATGTTGCCTATGGCACATTTTTGGTCTAGCGGTATTATGCCCCATCTGTGTTCGACAAAACGTTTCAAACGGATGGTCTCAATGCGCAACTGGTAGACTCGCGGAAAGATGGATCCGTGTTAAACAATGAACACGAAGGCTGGCTGGGGATATAAAGCGATGAAATCGGGAGCAAAACCAGTTACTTCAAAATCACTCAAATAGCTTAGATTTTGCCTCTTGAAAGATTCTGTTTAAGGATCCGCCCGCCTGTCTACACCGACCCTCCCTCTAACAGCCAGAAAATTTACGGAGTATTCAAATATGGGACAGGGATTCTCGGTCTGGAATCTGTGATGCCGTAATTTAACATTTGTGTTAGTATTAAAAATATGTAGTTTCGAGGACGTAACTCGGAATTTAAATAGAACGCCGAAACTTTTGCTGGAGGTTTCGCCACTGAGACTGTCGCTTACCTCATCCTGGCGGGGGTTCACGAATTCGCAACACACTCCTCGACTTTTAATCAAAAATAAGCTGTCTATTATCGGCTCAACATCGATTTTGTCGTTCCATAACGCATCCCGGTCTACCAATTTCGCATGGCTCTTCTATCCCCTTTGTTGACACAGCGGTGGGCTGCCATTTCAGGATTAGTCGCAGTGACCCCATGCCCCCCCCCCTTGATGAAATCCAGAGGCATTTGTTTCTCGGCCACTCCAGCATCCTGTGATCAATGGCTGCCGTCTTCATACCAAGGTCAGATGGCCATCGTCTTGTTACATTCCGATGTGTTCTCACCTTACTCAATACTCACTCTGAGGCCAAGTCATGCTCATGGTGTCTACTTGACAACAAAGTTGCTGACCCAATATATTTCAGGTCATGGGCCATCGCCTTGGGCTAACTTCCCAATTCATCTTATGGCATTAGGTGGATCAATTACGGCAGGTGTCGGATCTTCAGATTTCAATGGCTATCGAAAGCACCTTCTTGAGATGATACGGTCCTCTGGCTGCGATATCTGCATGGTGGGATCACGGAGGTCAGGGTCCACGGAAGCGGGTGAGCATGAAGGCTGGCGGGGATTTAGGCTTGATGAAATCGAGAAGAAAGCGAGAAAGTCTGTGCCGCGGCTCAAGCCAAACCTTTTTACGATCAATGCCGGCTCCAATGATTGCATCCAGAAACTTAACATCGACGACTTTGGGAAACGCATGAGCGCCATGCTGAATTATCTTTGGCTAGCATCTCCCGGATCAACAATTCTGTTGTCGACATTGGTATGCAACGCGGACCAAGAGATAAATTCGCAGGTACTACGAGTGAACGACCAGATTCGAACCTTGGTTAGGCAGAAAGCCACCCACGGCAGAATTATCCTTGCAGATATGTACACGGAACGAGGACCGACATTTATCGATCTTGTCGACGGCACTCACCCGGGGGATGCGGGATACAGAAAAATGGCTGATGTCTGGTTCAGTGGCTTTCAAGAGGCCGCGATCATGGGGTTCATTGGAAACACCGCAGAGTAAATGCCGTTGAATAAATTTGATTACGAAAATGAGAAGTGGCTAGGCTGCAAATTTGCGTCATTTACGATTATATGCATGTCCACAGTCCGTGTCCTCATTACTTTATACCCTTGGGAAATTCTAGTTTACATAGAGCTTAGGCTGATTTGATACCCGCAAAGCTTATGAACGCTATTTCAAAGATGAAGTCAAGATCTCAGACTTCCACAGCATGTAAGCAGTAGCAAATGGATTTTCATAAGGAACTACGCTTTACGGTGGAATTCCGACTCATATCCGCATCCTCGGAAACACAAATCATATCAACAAGTTGGCTGAAGCTGATGTAGATCTATAGATCAAATACCTTGGTAACTGCGCTTCAGGCGTTGAATAAGTTTGCGAAGGGGTTGAAGACACCCGACAGCGCCTCCGTACTCTAACACTCCTAGTATTATAAATATGACATTCTGCCCTGGTTTTGGGTTTCAAATAACTGAGTGGCGTTTAGCACTTACACTGTGCTCACATTGCTACCCGACGAAGGTTACCGTAGGCTGGAATCTGGCGCATAGCAGTACAGAACACCAAATGCCGTATTGAAGCCACTTAACCGCCCATATTGATGATTTTTGAACCTATTGGGCCTCTCGTGTGCGAAGGCAAACTTCAATATTTGGCTTTAAGATCATATAACAGGCAGTCAAATGCTCTGAGAGACCACATAACCTCGCTGTTTACTAATACATACGTTTCGAGTGAATTAAGCGTACTAATTTCCGGCGAATCATCGAGTATTCGCGTTCGAAAAAGCCTCAACTGCATTAACTGGTTCTCCGGTATTAAGCTCGAGGTTGGATTATTCGAAATTGGATTATTCGAACCACAGCCATGGGTTCCACCATGAAATCACCGGCCGCCTGGGATGAGATCTTTCAAAGCGAGACCCAGCTTCCTACCCACCTCTTCAAGGCTCACCCTCTGTGCAAGAGCATACCAACTATCGAGATCCAAGATATTCGTCTCCATGGCTTCTTCAAGGCCCTTGAGATCCCCAGAACAGTGACTTGAGTGAGGAAACAACGTCGAGGGGCTGCTACACTGTAAATTGGATTGGAAGATCCCTGCCGCCGAGAAAGGTAAGAAGTCCTCATATGTGATAGGAACAGCTTCTACAGTTCCTTCCGAGATGAGCTTCTCTAAAGTAGAGCTGCCTTGGAACTTGACAGATGGCGAGGCATTTGACAAGGTGACTTTAAATTCACAATAGATCAGGTTTTGATGCCGAAGTTCTACCCAAGTGTCTGGGTACTCCTTGAACACTTCGATGGCAATAGAATCTGCCTTCTCGGGGGTTACCCCTGCCGCTCGCGCTTTACCTTTGCAAAGAAGTTTGTCGTAAAGCTCTCGGCCCTTTTTTGTCACTGCAGCACCTCGCTGCTCTATTTCCCCGAAACGAGCCTTGTGGCTTGCCTCGACTAAATCATTCGGAGAAAGAGGCTGGTTCGCGCTTTGGTCTTCTCGTCTGAAGTGGACGATCTCTTCAAGGGCTAGGAAACTGGTTTGGCGTAGCAGGATGGGGCATTCGCGAGCCGGCGGGCCTTCGATTTGAGCCTTGGCAGCTATGCCAGCCTTCTTCATCGCTGACTGCGCAGCTAGGATGTCAAGGGTCCGTGGTGTAAGGTGATTGATGTGTGCGCTTTGAAAACATGCAATGTCCGGCAAAATAGGATGCACAGCTTTCAGGGCCTGGTACTGATCAAACGTAGCGGTAGCAGTGGGCTGCCACCTGAATGTGGACATAGCTTCATGGATAAAAATTTCGCTTTGACTTTCTTCCAATTTTCCGTCTTGCTGGTCAATCCTATCAAGAAGTTCGACCAAAGTTTTGCTGAAAATATTCCGCTTTCCCAACAGTCGCATTGCGAGTTCACGAGCTTCGGGAGTCAACAGTTCAGGCCGGAGTAGCGTAGTAAAGACACGGAAGGGATTGTGATTAAGGCTGGAGAGTGATAATGGGCGGAAGCAGGTCGCATGCATCGGTAATCCTGCGACCGAGAGGTCATAATATCCAATCGGGTGCATTCCCAGGACTGCAAAGATGCGCTTGATCATGCGAATCTCAAATGGGGTACCCAGGCGAATAGCACCATGTCGTTCTTGGGTCAGACGCTCGATGCTTGCTGGTACACCTGTAGTACCATCAATCCGCGGATCCTCAACAGTTGTCTTTTGTACACTGACATTGATATCGCGGACAATGTCCATCAAGTCACCGTAAAGTGGCACCTCAGCACGGTACATGGTAGACATAGCAGCGGCGAATCGAGTGCGCAAATCATCCTTATCGGCGTACACTGAGGGGTTGGTGGACGTCATGGTGCTTTGTTTCAAAGTAGATGTGTTTGAAAGTTTGAGATTCAGGGTTGATTTGTTGAGCTAGTCAACTCTATCCAAGGGGGAAAGACAGACGACAGTCAAATATATGTCTGTTGAAATCCGCGCTCCTATTGATTCCCGGAACCATCATCTCACCTTGTATGATTTCCTGCTGATTCCCACTACTCAGCAAAGCTGTGGATGGCCTCCTGCCAGTCACATTGTGACAGAACCCAACAGTGGGGTACTTCGCGGTGAATAACCGCATGTGCCGGCGGCTTCGGACATCGAAAGCCGGTAGTTTTACTAACTTCGGATGGAGTCAAGCCTGTCATCTAACTTAGAGAAGACCCTGACGTGAAGTCATTTGTGTCTAGGGCTCATAATCGGATTAAAGCACATTCGCCGGACTATGTGGCCACATGGGTGGGGGTCGGTCTTCTAGAGCGGCGTGGCGATCGAAACGCCGATGCTTGTCCGGAACTGAAAGTGGAGGGCGAGAGATTGGAAGTGAATATCCAATTCCCTCAAAATTTTATAACTAATGCGCGTGAAAAAAGGAACAACTCTCCGCATTACAATACGGACCACTTGTCTGTATGCAGAACCTTTCTAACCGGACGCCCGCCGTAGCCGAAACCAGAAACTGGCCCGGGTACTCCAGACAACCACTCCACGCTACTCCAAATCTCAAGCATATTGGGAGTCCAGGCACTCTACGAGAAGGATGAAAAGAAAAGCTAGCAGAGAGCTTGCCTCCTTCAAGCACTGGCAGAGCCCCTTACTCGATTTATAAAATCCTAGCGGTGGAGGTTCACGCAAAAATGCTGTCTGGCCCTCGCCGGCCAAGCTCCGCACGGACAAACATCGCGAGGTCATCCAACGCAATGGCCCCCAACATGTGATGAACGCCTATATGGTTGTACTTGAAGAAGCGGTGGTTTTGATTTCGAAACTGGACAAAGTATGCACGGGTTTGTGTAGGCAAATCCCCTACCGCCGTGTTTCAAGCTCAAGGTCGTTTCGTGCAGGCCATCGCTCGAAATTAGCAGTGTTGCTAGTAATGTGGAACTCCTCTGTTAGGTACTGTCAAGGGGGGGCGATTGAAGGCTAGTCCATGGCAGGACGGGTCGATCTAGCAAAATTCGCAATGTGAAATATATATCCAGAACCACAACACACCTGGAAGTTCTAGGGGAGGGGAATGACCCCAAAACGAGATCGTAAAAAAAGAGCGGAAGGGGGAGTCTGTATTCTCCATCTCCAATACCGATACTTTTATGGGAGGGCTCGAAGTCCGAGGCCTCAGGCACCCACTCGAACTCTTCCACATTTACAGCTATGTATGGGCGCACCCCACTACAGTACTTGATCAAAACTTTTAAGGATTTAGGAATTAAACAAAATACAGAACCTGACCAGATCCAAGTGAAGTTGGTGCATCGTGTATACACGCTGAGCACTCAGTCTCCGACGCTCTATCTACCACGGTTCAGGCTCGCTATGCAATTAGACAGTGCAACGACGATAATTTACCGTACGTAAAGTTTACACCATGACCTTTAATAGCTGCTTGGGACGTACATTTCTTACACCGATTCCTCTCGGCCATAGACATCCGTATTACCCGAGACCAAAAAGTAATAGTTCAAATCACTCTAATATCATTTGCCACGAATTATAAGATTTTATCCACCCAATTGTTGCTGGCTACTCCAGCACAGCAGATTCGAAAAACAGAAAATACATTGCAAGGTGAACCAAAACTGGGGGAATCCCTTTCCTGAAGCTGATCCTCACTTGTCATATGGAGTTGTTTTTTGAAGCTGTATCCATCTTCTGTTATTAAAATCCGGCCCAAAAGAATAGTTCTAACATCTGTAGGGTGAGATATCACCTGTATGTTATGGGTCGTTATATTGGATGGCTCCTCGGAGGGGGTGAGTGGAAATGGCCCTTTTCTGTTTGATACCATGCTTCTGATATAGTACTAGCGGATTTATGGCCAGACGTACCACATATTTCTACACATCACATATGTTAAAATAGATTTGACGATGCTATTTACAGAACGGCAACTGCGTACGGGACACTCTAGATTTTTTAGTATCCAGAGAAGATTCGCCACTATACCTATGCGAAGATTGGAGAAATCGTCTACTTCCTAATCTTATTATAATTATACTATAGTTTTATCGCAGTGCTAGGGTTAGCCCCAGGACTGCAAAAGTTGACTCTTGCCGTCAAGCGAATAGTAGTGTGAAGAGAAGTGTATCACAATCAGCTGGACCCCGGAAATTCCTATTAGCTCCGTGCGGGGCCAATTTTAGCCTCCTCGGCTCTTGCCATTACGCCGAATCCCAACGAAAACTGGGAATAGTGAACACCTCTCATCTGGTTTGTCCATAACGGGAATAAGCTCTGAGACATGCAATTATTCACGGGGATAAGGCGAGTCAAACTTCACTCTCCAGTAAAGTTGTAAAATTAGTAGGACTTCGAGTCAATGCATGATGCTTGGTCACATCCTTGATAGCTACAACTTACAAGCCCCAAAAATGGGGGCCCCTGTTGTAGGACTTGTAGGCGCATTGCTTACAGGTCGACCATACGATTGATTAATTTTTGGAAACAGCATCTATTTCGCAGATATTGGGGTAGCATGATCTCACATGTCTAGATCTTAGATTTCTGATCTTCGTGTCAGACCCGCACTCGCCCTCCGCTTGGGTTTTTTGGGGGTGGGGGGGGACCATCAAACCGTGAAGTCATCATATCTTGGGGCTTTTCTGGAGTATATACAGGCGACCCGCCCCTCGGTTTGTTATCACGAATGGTCCAGGACGGGTAGTGGAAATAGATCGAATATTATTTGTAAGTGCGGATGCACTCGACTGGCTAGACAGCTACCGATTACAACTAGTCCGGGATTCATATGGCGAAAGTCTTTTATCTCAAAACCATCACTATATTTAGAGAGTTGATCTTAAACTCTTCTTTTACCAAATACCGTAGTTGAATCGGATCAATAGAGCTGAGAAATGGTCCCGGACCATGACGGGCCTGTACTATAGTGTACTACAGAGCGAGCCTTGGAAGCGGAAATGGATTTGTTGGACTTTAGTGTGGAATGAAAGATTTATGAATAGCTTCATGGGTATCTGGATGGGCCGTCACGCATTCGTTTCATTGGGCTGTCATTCTATAGCGTTAACTGTCATCAGTATGTTCTTATTCCGCTGGTTGGATAGCCTCCATGACGAGGGCTAGAATACCTAGTACGCAGGTAGCAACAAGTAAAATAATTCATCGTTACAAGGTTTCAACTTATTCATAATCTCTATGTAATAGATAATTCCGGGTTACTGGATATTCCTCACGGTTTGATCCAGTGCCCAGGCAAACTGTGCTACGTAATGGTCGTTCAATCCGGCAATAGATACCCGTGAAGTCTCGACCATGTATACGTGGAAGTTCTCTGTTTATTTTGTTAAATTTGATGAGACTGTAATTTACTATAGGGCAGGTACTGACCTTCGAGATATTTGACTTGGGCCTTGCTAATGCCTAGATAGGCAAACATTCCCGTTTGCCGAACAACATGAGACCAGTCACCCGGTGTTTGAAGACGCTGCAGCTCTTCGTACACTCGCGTACGCATTTTGCGAATGCGACTAGACATCACGACCAGATCTTTTGACCACTGCTCTCTAATCGAAGGTGTACTAAGGACAGCCGCCGCCATGCGGGCGCCGTATGCTGGAGGAGCAGTAATTGTGGCTCGCTGCACATTTTGTAACATTGACTGCGCGACTTTGGCCGCCGACGACGAGGAGACTGCGCAAGCAACAAGGCCAATTCTCTCTCCGTATAGACCCATATTCTTCGCCATTGACAGGCAAACTGCGAGCTCAATATTCACGTTGTTCAAAAAGTAACGTATTGGCCACGCATCGCCACTGAAAGACCCTGAATTAAACCCGAGGTATGCAGAGTCGAAGATAGGAAACAATTGCCTTTCTTTTATGATGGATCCAATAGTCTTCCATTGGCCTCTCGTGGGGTCACAACCGGTAGGATTGTGGGCACAAGTGTGGAGGACGATTGGTGAACCTGGGATAGCCGTTTTCAGAGTGCTGATATACGCATCAAAGTCAAAGCCGCCATCCCTATAGCAAGGAATCTCCTTAACCTGAAAACCGATCGTCGCGAACATCAAACGGTGGTTCACTCAGGTAGGATCAGTAATATAAATGGTGTCAGGAGGGGTACCAAGTTTTCTCAAAGTGAGGCCAATCAGCATGACAGCTCCTGTGCCAGAAAGGGATTGGCATGAGGCGACCTGAATAGATTTGTCCCTTAGTATGGATTACAATTGATGATCAGGGAAAATGATACCCTTTGCTCAGCAAGAGCCTCGGTGCCATCGAAAAGCAGTTTAGTCGCTTCATTCAAGAATGGCTGGAATCCAGCAATTGGTAGGTATTCGTGATTGATGTCTCCCAACGAACTCTTTGCCATTTGGACGGATGGAAGCACCCAGGGCAATCCATTTTCATCTCGGTAGGTCCCCTGGCCCAAGTTGATCTTGCGATCATTCTGATCGGCAAGAAATCTTCTAGTAACATCGAACTGGATGTCAGGAGGCACAAGATCGGTGGGGTGGAAGGTTGACAACGGTCGTGATGTCGACATGAGGTGAGATTTACGTTGTATCGCGGTTCTGATGTCTCACTCCGAAAATGAAATCTGGAATAAAATGTGTAGCGTTTGAGACTGTGCTTAAATTTCGTCGAAACATGTACGACTTGTATATTTTCCGCTGTTATTTCTTACCCAGTAGCCTTCCTTGCGGCCTATCGGTGCATCTTCGGCCTGAAAAAGACAAAAAGTTAAAAAAGTTTCAAAAAAAACATCACGGTTCTCGGGTCCCGCAAATACCCCGCTAAATCAAAAATATTACCGAGGTGGGCCTGGCATTTCACCAAAGTTAATCTCCTGCGGATCAAATGACAGAGGAACCCCTCAATCTACTAACGTAATTCCCAGCCGTTCCGAACACCCCCAAACACCATAGTAAACACGATAGTTTAGATTATGATATTTCAACCCACAAGGGATTATATAAGTTGATGAGATATTCAAGTATCAAATATATCACATTAAGTATATTTATCAGATCAAACCCTATTATGAGGTAATATAATTTGATATATAAATATGCATCACCTTATCGGCGTGTATTTTTAGTAATATATGTAAATAACTACGTAATATATTTATTGATAGATCTATACTAGTTAATAAATTACCAGGAACTATCCTACCAGAATCAAGTAATATTATATTGTTGTTGTTGATATATAGCCACATGAAATATTCTGTTTACTATGGTGTTTGGGGGTGTTAGAGACAGCTGGGTGTTCGGAACGGCTGGGAATTACACAGTACGTTAGTTATGTAGTGTCGAGACACAGAGCGGTAACTTACCGCTAGTCCAGGGTTGGCGTAGCACCATATAGCTTAGTCATCTCGGAGTATTCCAAACTCCTCCATGGTAGTTATCCTTTTACCTTTGCATCCAAGATTGGTTCCGCTTGCTCCTATCCTCGTTCCTATTCGCCTATCAGGATTACTAGCCATTACTGTCATAGCTTGCTCCGACAGTCAGTTACACCCTTGGGCCGCGTAGCTGAGTAAGTTATTTCGGCAAACGATGCTTATGCCGGCGGTACGTTTCCATGGGTCACGGGTGGCCGAGGAGACATCCCCGCCCGTTGGCTGCGTAATTGGCACGGCACAATATCTGCTTCCATGCTGGTCAGATTTCTCACCATAGTCGGCCCTTAGGCATTCCGCCGTAATCGATATTCTACAACTTAGCTCCGCTGATCTACGTGCATTACCACAATATCTGAGTCTTCTAAGCAAAATAAATTGCGCAATAAAATTTAATGAGACGTATATTTAGGCGGGCGGTGAGGTCAGGTGCTTGGGTTAATTGTTCAGTGGATGGTCATCATTACCTAGGTAAGGATGAGTAACTTACGAAAAAACGGTAAAGCTATGGACGGGATCATGGATGCTTTGCGGAAGGGTTTCCCACTAAGGACCTAAAATACTACGACACGAGGGAAACTTATTTCCGAGGTCTAAAATCCGGTCAATAATTTGAATGTTGATCCATTTCGCCCGATCTAGCTCAGTCGAGATAGTCTATACGTTCATTACGAACAAAGATCCGTGAAAATTTACGAAACATATATTTGATAGCTCGAATATGCTATCAACATAAGGGCCAATCACTTCGAGTTTTGAGCAGCGAAACGATCTTGAGCTTCAAACACGGCGGCGGGTGACCGGCCCACTAGGGACTCGTAGATCTCGGGGTCAGTTGCGCCCTCCAGTCCGAAGATCACGACCTGACTATTCTCATCCAGTCCCAGTTTCTCACGAAGGGTTGGATCTGAGCCAGATCCTAGAATAACGCCCATGCTGGCAGCTGACGACTCGCCACACACTACGGGCACATCACCCTCGTGGCCATTAGCTAACGCCTTCATGCCCTCCACCGCGACGGAATCGGGAACGGCAATAAAGTCACTAGTTAACCAGCTGAGGATCTTCCACGCGGCTGGAGAAGGCGCACGACAAGCCAGACCAGCCATTAGCGTACGCAGCGTGCCTTTAGACTGACGAGCCTCGCCGTTCTTCGCGCTCTGCAGGAGACAGTCTGCCTCACAAGGTTCAACAACAACAAAGCGGGGCACTTTAGCAGGTACCTTTCGGATTCCACGAAGATGAGTGTAAAAGCCTTGGAAAATGGCGGCGGCAATACTACCAACGCCACCGCACACAAAAACGTGAGAGATGCGATCGATTTGAGGAATCAATGCAATTGCCTCCTCGAGAACGACCATGTAGGCGTTCATTACATGCTGAGGCACGTCGTTATCAAAGTCGGACCAGGAGGTGCTACTGACGAAGTACCAGCCGTTCATGCGAGCATCTTCCTTAGCTCGGTTAACCGAAGCTTCATATTCGCCGTCAATTCGAATCACAATCGCACCCAAGTCCATCATACGCTTGGCGCGACCGTCGCTGACGTGGTTGTGAATGTAGTCGACGCAGCGACAGCCGAAAATCTGAGCACCATACGCCAACCCACGGCCTTGGTTGCCGTCCGTCGCGACGCAGACGGTGACGCGCTGCGTGATATCCCGATACTTGTCGGTGCGGAGCTCAGCTGCTAAAGGCCAGACACCCTTCTTGGCGTGTACCTCCTCCGCTAAGATCCTGTAAACCGAGTAAGGCGCACCCAGCGCCTTGAAGGAGCCGAGCTCGGTTCCAAAGCGTTTGCTCTCATCCTTGACAAATATCTCCTGGATTCCCAGTTTCCGTGCGAGTTTGGGGAGGACGCGCAGGGGTTGTTCAGTGTACTCTGGCCAGGTGCGAATTTCATCGACGGCGGGCATCCAGTTAGAAAGATTCTCCATACAGACGGCCGCAGTGGCCTCCGCCTGTGAGGACAAGCGGTCCGCATTGTAGTGATGGGAGTATGCCATCTTGGCTAACTGGAAAATCGGTGTTCAGGATTCGTTTGGTCAATTCGTCCGTTCTTGCCGGCGGTGTCTATGTTTTATGTTACTATTGTCATTCGCCTTCGCTGACCGTCCATCTTCATCTGCTTCATCGTACCCCCTCTCTCTTAACGCTCCCAACCTTCCTTCGGTAATTTCGGCCCATTCGCCGCGGTACCGAGCGGCGTTTTAACTCGCCACGTCTTTCTTAGAATCCCACCGGGCCCACCTTGTCTCTCCTGTGACGTTCGGCGATTTCTACTTGCTCCGATTATGGACAAGGCTTGACCACTATAATAAACATGTCAACGGTGGTCACCGGAAATTCCGACATCCCGGAGATCAAGGTTCGGTACAATCGGCCAAAATATGCACGTTACCCGATAAACGCCCACGAAATACTTGGCAACAGAAATATAGCCTCGTACAGTGAAGTCAAAATACGTAGAGGATAACTAGGCGCTTTTCTCTCTCTATCGCTGTTTCGGGTAACTATAGAACGTAGTCGTAATAGAAATTCACAGAAAATTATTTACACTTCAAGGGTTTTTTGACTCATTTTATGTGCATAACACCTGGCACTCCACACTAATGAACGACCGGCAGACCAACCCCTTAGGTATCTCAACGACATAGCATCTGGGTAACGGCAACGGCCGTCGACTCTAGAACCGCACAGAGGAAACCGATTTCAGAGGAGAAATTCGGGATATGCTACGGGAGTGGATCGAAACTGTTGAGACCTCACTAAATTCCTATAGAACCTTCAAGGCTGGTCACCGAATTATGGAACCTTTAGATGCATCCAACATCTCGGAACTACAGATGCGCTATTACTTCAATATCAACATCCGTGCCTAGAGGCAGTTGCTTTACAGCAACACACGTGCGGACCTAGCATGCTCGTATTAGTTGGACTGATAGATAAAAGTAAGCTGCATGTTGAAGAACATACTGGCATTGTTCCCTGGGTGAACATCTGAAGATAACCTTCGTTCATAGCAGCATAGTTTGCCATGTCATCAATGAAGATATTGACCTTGACCTGTGGATTCAAACTCAATTAGAAGCAGAGCGTGAGGACATTATGAGAATGAAAGGCATCGAACACTAGATCAAACTGACAGTTTTCTCGAGGGAGCTTCCGGCGGCGTCAAGGATGTTCGAAATATTTTTTAGACATTGAATCTGTCATCGCTTAGCATTCATTGCAATGGATAACATAATTTGTTGACATACTGTTCGGTCAGCCGTAGTGCCCGTCACTAATTCTTCCGTGGAGGGGTCCATTCCGACGGCGCCTGAAGTGTACACGAAGCCGTTGATAACCATAGCCTGGGACAAGGACGGTTTTGGCACAGGTGCCTGAGCCGTAAAAACAGGCTTCTTCGCACAGGTTGACATATTTCGTGGGTTAGGTTTAGATTCCGATTCTCTTTTCTCTCGGGGAAAGAATAAGTCTTGAGAAAAGTGTATTCCACTCAGATGGACCTCTAGAGATATTTCTATTGACTGACTCAGCGTGGGGCCAGTTCCGGCTTCCTCGGCTCTTGCTATTACGCCGAATCCCAACGAAAATCAGGGAAAAGTAAACACTTCTCTATATGGTTTATCCATAATGGGGATTTAAGAGTCTCAGAAATGCGGTCGTTGGATGAGATACGACGTGTCAGATTTTACTCGTTAATAATTCATCACAAAGCTTAAAAATTAGCCAGGACATCAAGTCGTCATGTGGGGCACATGCCGTATGGTGATAGTTGCACAACCCACAAATTAGATCTACCAGTCTTAAGTCTTGTGCAGGCATTAGGTAAAGGTTATCCATGCTGTCAATAAAGTTCTGGGAATTGTATATATCTCGTCGAGACTGGGGTGGCATGATCTCATATGTCCGGATTTCGGATTTCCGACTTTCGCCCCAGACGCGCCATGCATGCTGTGGGCGCTCATGGGGACATATTCCCGGAAATCCGCTAAAGAGCTGGCATTTCTAGTGCTTCAAACCGTTGAAGCCACCTCGGGGGTGATTTTTTGGAAATGTTGACAGAATCTTGCATTGGATGGAGATGGTTGGGAAGGGGCTTCTGTCGGTCAAATTTAGAAAGCCGGCGGCGAGCGCCGGCCGACCCGGTGACTTGGACATGGAGCCAAGTGTTCTCAAGTCGATAAGGAGATACTTCCCTGGGGCGAAATAAGATTCGAGCCAAGAGAGGATAATCCATTGCGGGGAAGAGGGCCTTTCAACTCCCACGGCTATATGTACTGCCTCTTCTCCCTCGGTAGGTTCTCTCAGTGTTGTTACACCCACTCCGACCCACTATAACAGCCAACAGCACCAACCAAAAAAGCCACTATGAATTTTACTTCAAATTCGCACGATGAAATTGACCCCGCGACACATATCGAGGAATCTTCACAACAGCCAGATGAAGCTGGAGTAATGTTTGAGCGAATTGATCTAGCAGAAGAGGCGAAACTTGTGCGGAAACTTGACACCATCATCATGCCCCTGATGGCTTTGGTATACTTCTTTCAGTGTATGTAATTTTTATGTCCTTGACTGGAGAAGAAAATGACTGACTCATTGATGCCGCCTGTTAGACATTGATAAGGGTTCTATTAACTATGCCGCGGTTTTTGGACTAAGAACCGATCTCAACCTTTCAGGGCTTGAGTATTCATGGGTAGTATCTCTTTTTTACTTCGGCCAGCTCGCCTCCGAATACCCTGCTGCCTATATTCTCAGCCGCTTTCGACTGATCCCTTTTGTTGGTACTGCCATTGTTATCTGGGGTTTGGGGTGGAGATGACGATGGGTGCGACTTCCAATTTCAAAGGAATTGCCGCCACAAGAGTTTTTCTTGGATTCGCCGAAGCCTGTGTCTCGCCTGCTTTCATCATTATAACATCAAACTGGTATAAAAGGAATGAACACCCACTCCGCGTTGCGGCATGGGTTTCAATGAATGGCATAAGCCAAATTATTGGGGCGTTGCTTATGTATGCTGTCGGGCATGCGAATCTGACAATCGCGAGCTGGCGGGCGATCTTCCTCATTTTCGGCGGGTTGACCACCGCTTGTGGCCTCGCTTTCCTTGCGTTGATGCCAAGAGATACAACGACGGCATGGTTTCTCAGCAAGAGAGAACGCCACATCGCAACTCAGCGGCTTGCTATTGACCGCCTCACCAGAGACAGAGCTGAATTTAATAGGCAGCAGCTTAGGGAGGCCCTTGTCTCACCTTTGACCTGGCTGGACTTTTTCATGGCCCTCTGCATTACTCTCACTACTCCAATATTGAAGGTATTCACCCACTGCTCTTTCTTCTTGTTTGAACAGACAGTAATTTACCCTATAAAGTTTTCGTCAATTGTTATTAATGGCTTCGGCTACTCGAACTATGAGTCCATGCTTGTGGGACTCCCAGGGGGTGCCATCAACTTTATCACAGTTTGGATCTCAGCTCTGATTCCACGCATATTCCCTGGGACTCGAATTTGTACCGCCATTGGGCTTTCTCTAGTCCCGTTATGTGGGTCAATTATTCTACTCGTTCTTCCGATCCGGGACGGCAGTTGGGGTATTGTTGCCGCAACCTGGCTCGCGGCTTGCTGCTCCGCACTCATATCGGCAACTGGATCTTTAATGGCCAGTAATGTTAAAGGAAACACAAAGAAAAGTGTAGTTAGTGCCGGATTTTTTATTGTGTACTGCGTAGGGTGCATCGTCAGTCCTCAAGCGTGGACTGAGGATGAGTACCCACGATATGCGAAAGGATGCATCCTGAGCATTGTCAGCTGGACTGCCCTTATTGCTGCTTACATCGTCTATCTCTTTATTGTTAGAAGAGTTAACTCGCAGAGGGATGCTTTCGCATCTCAGGGCATTGTTGAATACATGACCAGCGAACAGGCCAGTGTGGGAGGAACAATTGGGTTGTGTGTGGACTCCGACTTGACAGATGTCATGGACAAGGGCTTCAGGTACAGTACCTAACTACAATAGATCCCATATTAGGTTTTAAGTGAAACCAATATTAAGGAAAAACGTTCCCTCCTAAAAACCCCGCTCTGAATCGATAACTATTATACCGGATTCCTCCGTCATTTGACGATAATTATGTCTTCGAAACATTTATTCTGTGATCATTGAATGAATTACAGGAGAAGGAATTAAAGGAGCAAGAAGGAAATAGGCTTTGGGAACGAGAGATTACAAAGTGGTGCCTCAAGGGCGAGACCTGGAAGTCTATATAGCAAGTTGGGACATTATGCTACACAAATAGAAGTTCAAACAGGTTTGACTTGCTAGGAAACCACTACCTGGCCATAGGAAGCAAATCCTATGTCGATGACATGTAAATTCGACTTCTAGGCGGATAGAGTGATCAATAGGAGATGATTTGGCAGACCCAACAATGTTGATTTTGAGAAGATATTAGTACCAGATGTCGCAGGGAACAAGTTGCCAGAAAAAAGAGATTGTCTAGATGAACATGTACATAATCAAAAGTTACCCGAAGTCGGTCGTCTGGTCGAAAGCATACGCGCTGGGGACGATGATTATAAATAATACGACAGCAGCGCTGTAGCTCAGCCGAACAAGAGAAGCCATGCAGAAGCCAATTTGTAGGTAAGAAGTACAGAATCTAGAAATGACGAGCTCCTGTGTCTGATTCTGTCTCTATCACTTTCTGACTTCCCATTCGTCGACTCTCGCGACGTTTCAGGTAAATTTGTGGACCGAAGTGGGCGATCAATAATGATGATGATGATGATGATGATGATGATGATGGTGATGATGGTGATGGTGATGTTAAAGCTGATTTCATTTATCTGATGGAGCTCTTTCTAAACCTGGTGATAGCTCTAAGGCGGTCAGCCTTGGCCAGGATAGCCGGACAGCATCTAACAACGCTTATCAAAAACGTCTGAGAGCGGGGTAACAGCGATGATAACCCATCGAATTCATGTTCAGGCTGCGGGAGCTCATCTGTACTCGAGGAGTGAATGTTCCTATTGCGGCTGCTGGCCCGGTCGCAAGGTCAGGCCACAGACACGAAGCGCATGCTTTATCTACAGGTGTGTTTCCCTCCTTTCTTTCCGTCGACCTACCACTGACCAATCTCTAGATCGTGGCACGGGTGTGCGTCTGAGCCAGTGTCAGGCAGTGCACACAGCTAACAGGTCTCGATTAGGCGTGTCAAATGTGATGGGCAGAAGCCGTTTTGCCCGTGCTGCGTCGCGCCCGATGGATGCAGGGCTATCTTATCCCATGATGCCTTGAGCGTCGATGAGCGTCGAGGGTTTCTCTACTTTGAAGCCAACCGAGTTATCTAGTCTTCGGTCATTGTGAGATGCCAACAAGTGGATTCTAATTCTTCTCCAGCTTAGTCAATGAGTGTGCTTGGATCGATTATCAGAGAAGCAGACTCAACAACATAGAGAGGACTAACATTGTAAGCACAACATTCTTCATCGAAATAAACGAGACTTACAGCCTTTCCTTGGTTGACCTCTTCCCTGATGAATTGTGGCCATGCCCTTCCATGGGTGCGACCTCGGCGCGGAAAAAGAATCGCAAAAAAGGGTCCTTCTGTACCTTCCAATGCGCCCTCGGTCAATAGGATTACCGGCTGAAACATCAAATTTCACGCGGACCAAATGGCCAGCAAAGCCTTACCATTGATTTAGGGTTTACATCGGTAAACCGATAGTACACCGGTGCCACATTTTCAACGGCCCGGCGGGCAGGCTGCCCGCCCTTGGTGTCTACGCTCCGGAATCTAAAGTATTACGCCGAACATGATCTCCCCAAGGGAGATTTTCCAAAATCACCTCGTTTTTAATCTTATACTTGTTATTTTTCTCATCACTGTGCATTCCCACAATACTGTACCTTGATATGTGCCTTGTAACCGCTGGACTCGTCATATCATACTGGCTTCCACAGGATAAAGTAAATGCAGGAGTCTGGATCACTGTTGTGGATCATGGTCGTATGTATTAACTACTTCGGCGTGCGCTTCTTCGGGGAATTTGAATTCTGGCTGTCCTCATTCAATGTTATCGTCATTTTGGGCTTTATTCTGCTCTCACTCATCCTTATGATAGGCGGCGGTCCTGACCATGATCGGAAGGGGTTCCGTTACTGGAAGAATCCCGGTGCTTTCAACCACTACATGGAGGGCGATGCTGGCCGCTTCCTCGCGTTCTGGTCCACCATGATCTCTGCCACATTCGCATACCTTGGTACCGAATTGGTTGGTGTGACCGTCGCCGAGGCGCAGAACCCTCGTCGTGCCATTCCCCGTGCGACCAAGTTGACTTTCTGGCATATCCTCGTCTTCTATGTTCTCTCAGTCCTCTTACTCGGTACCCTGGTACCCTACAACGATCAGAAGCTGCCCTACAACAATTCCAAGTTTGCGAAGCCGAGCGGCTCGGCGGCTGCCTCGGCCTTTGTCGTTGCTATTGAGAACTCTGGCATCCCCGTACTGTCGCACATCATCAATGCCTGCATTCTGCTATTTGTTTTCTCGGCCGCCAACTCTGATTTGTACATCGCAACCCGTACACTCTACGGTCTTGCTCCCGAGGGCAAAGGCCCAAGATCTTTGCCCAAATTGACAGACGCGGTATTCCTGTCTATGCGCTGGCAATTTGCTCTTCCATCGCCCTGATTCCTACATGAACGTCCGGAGCAACTCCCAGACGGGATTCAAATACTTTGTTAACCTGGTCACTATATTCGGTTTATTGGCCTGGATCTCCATTCTGGTCACCCACATATATTTCGTGCGGACCCCACGGGCTCAACATTTCCCAGATTCCAATCTCGCATACGTCGCACCCTTCGCGTGGTCGGCTCCTACATTGCTCTGGCTTTCTGCATTATCATCGTTTTGACAAAGAATTATGACGTCTTCACATACAATAAGAAATGGTGCAACTTCGACTATACGAATTTATCACAGCGTATTTGGGTATCTCCCTATATCTTATGTTGATCTTCGGATACAAGTTTATCACCAAACGCAAAGGTGTTCAGCCCGCGGAAGCCGATCTGTGGACTGGCAAAGAACAGATCAATCACGAGGAAGCAGCTTTTATTGCGAGACACAATGCTGAGATGGAGAATGTGGGCTCTCGCTGGTTTTACCGCAAGTTTGTGTCTTGGTTGTTGTGATTTCGATTCTCACATTGGCAATGTGAGTGGCGCGGTTTTGACTCATGCGCTTTGCATTCATGGTTCCCCTCTCCTCTTATATATGTGTACTAATTCATGAGTTTAGTTCTCGGCGTTAGACTGTGAACTTACGAGGTAGAGTATGATTTATGAGGATTCTCAGCCTCTTAAAATCGTGCCTGCTCCGTTTGGCTCCAATGGCAGCTAGCGATGACCTCAGGCAATTTCAACAGTCGATGGTAATGCAGCTACAAGGTTTCACCTAATAGTGCCAACTAATGTCAGACAAAAGTGGCCTCAAGTATTCTTATAAAACTGCACATAGCTCAATTTAGAGTAACTATTCTGAAATTACCCATGCGCATGGATGAGACCAGATGTTTTATAGGGCCTGGGTCCTCACTCTACCCGCAAGTGCTACAACCATGGGACTTCCCGGTATTTTTCAGAACGCGTTTAATAGAATCGGTTAAATGAAGGTACGTATATACAAAAAGCCATGCGTGCCAGGGGTCACATCATATAAGCTGGGGATGTCACCCCGACATCTTAGGGCCCTAATACTGCCCGTGTGAAAGAGTGATTGAACACATATAAGCATAGAACGTAGATAGCTCAGGATCCCACGTATCGAATTCTGACTAACAAAATGTAATCAATCTAGCAATCACTGGCCAGGCGCATAGTCGGGTTCATATCTCCCCTGGTAGTAAGTCTCACCGACAACGTCATCAATAAACTGCATGTCGAGCGGTGGCTGAGACAGAAGCTGGAGCAAAGATGAGTCATTCCATGTCACTCCAGGATGGGCGGACGAATTATGCGGCATGTGAGAGGTATCTGGTCCCATTCCCTCAAAGGGTTCGAAAGGTATTACAGTCTTCGCATACGCCGCCAAGGCAGCAGTAATGGCTTCAACATGGTGATAATACTCTTGAGCTACGAAATTTCCGACATCCTTGAGCTCTGCCAAAAGTCGTGAAGCTTCTTGATATGAGTTCCGGTCGGTATGAGCTTCCTGGCCGAAGTATATGCTTGAGATAGCCAGAATAGTCAGCGAGGAAAATAGATATTGGGTGAAAAAGCAATCGTAGTTCGTGAAAAGCCCGTCAATCCAGGACTGGGCAAGCAGCTGCGCTGAATGTCGGGCGCACCGAATACAGGCCTCCACCAGAGCAGAGGCAGTCGCCGGAACTTCAGACCCGGTCTGGGATCCACCCCTTGAATTCGCAATTTGTACACGTAGAGCGTGCAGTAGTATTGGACGAGTGGCAAGGATCACGCACTGTGAATACCATTAGTAAAAGCCGCTACGATAGAATTTCGAAGAAATATCTGACTTGATAGAACGACAAGTGCAGGGAAACCACTTTCCAATCTCTCACCACTCCGGGTGTATGATCAATTTTTAAATGAGGTGGCAATTGAGTCATCCAAGCTTGGAGGTTCTGTAGGGCCCGGTGAACTCGAGTGGACAGCTGCGTCTCTTGGTGCTGCGGATGGAAATTATATATAGACCGGACAACGCTCGTCAGGTGTCGTGTCAATTTGATACTGGCCACGCAGTATTCGACGTCAAAATCATCGCACTGGTCCAAATTTGTTTCGCTCAGCTCGCTGTTTGGCAGGACAGAAGGCAGGTCGACCTGGATATCATCGTCCTGGATTGCCGCTGGATGTCCGAGATGGGCGCCCCACATCCGATCAAACATGTACGTGGTCCAGAATAGGCGTTTTCTATGTTCTTGAGCCCCCAAGTCAGGCAGTTGTACTTGAGGGATTTTGAGGTGAAGACCCATGACTATTGCTGTGCGCATGGCTGTACCTGATAGGATGTATGCACTGTACCGTCGGTTAACGGCCAAAGAGTAAATTGACTAGGTCAGAGATCGTTAGCAAAACCTGAATAAGAAAACCGAGGGACATCACCGCGTACCAGAAGCAGTAATGTCTCTATTGATTCTGTCCCCGGGCGCTCATTTGGGTAACCTAAGATTTTGCACGCCTGTGAAAAGTAGGCCATACCAGGATAGCTATGCATCGCCGGAGCCCGAGTTGCATAAAGCTCTCCGACAGCAAATAGCGCCCAGTATTTGCAACTCAGAATAGAACTGGCCGCGGCTGGGGTCGAGATAACCTTATCCATCATTTCCCGAGCAGCACCTGGACGAGTAATGTAATAGCATCGACAAATGTATTTCAAGGCTGCTTCGACCAAGAAGCGAGCACGGGGTTGACTTGGCCATGCAAGTCCTGGCTCCGGCAACGCCAGCAATGCTCTATCCTCAGCGTAGTTTAGGCGAAGCAAATGCGTCGGCTCGGGGACGCGCGGGTCGGATATCACCTGTCGAAAGCGGGTTGCAAAGGCAGCGTCGGCTTCTTCGCTGATTAGGATGGGCGTGTGAAAGATGTTTCGGTTGTCGAACCATGGAGTTTCATAAGGGGAATCAAAAACCGAGCTAGGCTGTGCGTCTGGCTGCGGATTAGCATGGGTGTTGGGTTGTGAGTTTGTCTGTGGGTTTATGTCTGTGTTCGGCTGGGAGTTGTGCGCGCCTGTTTGTGACTCAGGCTCTTCAGCATCCTGCGCCATTGAGGGCTGCGGCGGTCTTCCATTTCCTTGCCGCGAGGTACAGATAGGCGGAGTCGTATTAAAATTTTCATTTGAAGAGACACGTTGTCGTTTCAAGGTGTCAATCTCCTCGAAAAGCTCATCGATAAATCTACTTGTCGATCAGCTTTTCTTATCCTGACTAGTCACCATTAACCTATTGGAATGGGCGGCGAACCTTTGTGAGACCTTGATCTTCCGATTGCGTTCAGGGTATGAGCAATCCGAGCCCTGTTCGGCATGAACACAATTTTGGCAAGGCTGACCACCCGAGCACTTGATCTTCTTAGAATGGCAACGGTGACAACTGCCGACGCGTCAGCAGGGCAAAGACTTCCTCGGTGTTGAGATGACCGACTCACGCAACGACTTTGGTTGGCAAATTTTTTCGCCTAGGATTCGCCGAGTCGGTGTTCAGGGAGTCCGGAGAATGTTGCATGACGCGACTGGGGATAGGAAAAAAGGCCGAAGTGTCAGTAATCCTAGTCTCTTAAAGGGGCTTGAGTCGGTCAAATGTGGTCAAACCGACTCGGAGTTGCTGACTAGACTACGCTGACATCGCCTTGTGACGTGATTTCTATTGGAATCGGGAAGCACACCGCGCTCTTATTGGGGGACTCCTAAAATAGTTGACTACGTCGGGCGCTAACCCGAATGGGAAGGTAGAAATCTAACAATTTCAAACCCGCGTGAAATGTCGTCATAGACTGGAATAATATGCGAGACATCCTCAGCATTCCAGTTTGCACAAATTATCGATATGCTATTGTTTTCGCATTATTTGGGGCCTTACATAACTTATCATTTATGGCTCAGGCTCCGTCACCCAAATGATATCGCGTATTCATACATTCAACCAAAGCAGTACGATTTAGGAGATAACTATTAGACCGAATGAAGCAATTTGATTGGCCAATACAGAAAGCAGCACTAGTATTTGATGAGATTGCAAAAGCATTTCAGCTCCGTGATGACCTCCAGCTGGTAATACAATACGCTCACAGTTTCATGAGAGCCTTTGGGTTCTCACTACTCTTTAGAGTGCTCTCCATACGAACAGCCTGGCTAGAATGCACTAACCCAGGCAATTCCAAATTTTATGCGACTGATTTTCGTGTGCGTAGCGAAACTCTCGTAGGTACTCCGAATTATCTACATTCTGCTCCAACCCTCAAACCATAGAGGCGAATTCTGTCGCAGCATTTGCAAGCTTTCCAAGCAGGTGACTAGCGGATGTTGGCCGCATACGAGATATCTTATCCTCTAGCCACTCTTTTAGCTTCTTCACACGCTCAGCAGTCTTCAGTGTACAAGGATCTGGTAACAGTGATTTTCTTATCGCCTATCTCAAACTACCACAGTAGCAGGGCCTTCGCGGTAAGGATTACTACTGGTGCGATAGTAGTACCATCGACTGAGATAACTTCAAGAACAATCGCATATTCGCGATTAGTACCAACCCTACCAGAAATCTAGCTATTAGGCTCGTGCATAATAATCCGCAGGTCTCCAACGCCAATGTGGAATCCAGTCTCATCTAAGTTCCAAATATCATCCGCAGCAAGTCTGTATTGGGCGATTGTCTACTCATAGGAATCGAGTCACTCTCCCGCAATCTACTGAAGTAGGTACTTCTTCGTCTAGAGATACATGGCTCCCTGATGGCGAACAAGATACTCGGGATGGTGATGGAGAAAGCTTTATTGCCAGTGCTCACCAATAGTAGGCAGCTTCGATTCACCCGCTAGAGAGAATTGCATTAGCAGCAGCAGCGACTGCAGGGCGCTTAGGAGGTAGATAGATCAAAGTGAGTAAATCGATATAGCGACGGCGGGCAAATTCTTGCGATTCATCCAGTTTGCAACCGTGCGGACGATCAGAGAATGATGGCGGCCCTCTTAACACGTAAGAAACTGTTGGTACGGTAGATCGCGAGATCACGCCCACGCTTTAGTATAAGACTTTTGAACATTCTTTAATTCAAGAAATGACTAATTAGATCCGAGATTCAGTAGACTGATTCGATTCAAGTATGGGACGGAAGGTGTTTACTATGTAAAATCGCAATATCGTTTGCGCCCGTAACCAAATGGTAGTTTGTTTCCCCCGATGACCGAGTCTTTACTAAGGCTTTAAGCAAAGCCATATGTCGTGGAAAAATGGAGGGATTCATTACAGTGACCTCGGGTTGGTCCATTTCCTTCCCAAGTTTCTTATTGAAGAGGGAAGCGCTCGACGGCAGTCTGACCAATCAGACGGGTCGAGATGAGAGAATATCTACCACCAAGCCTAGAAATCGTGTGAGAGACCGAGTAGTGAAAGATACGTATCCGCGAAGGAGAATCAAAAGAGTGTATATTCATCCGTGTGTTCTTCTTCTTCCTTCCCGTCCTCCTCGAAGTAATGAGCGAGGAGAGGTCTGAATACCTCAAGAAATAGGATCTCAGACTTGTACAAAATAGGAAAAGGAGGCTTATAGTAAATGACTGTTCAATCAATAATCCTCAGCGTATTCCAATACACCTCAGTGTACTCTCACTCAATCACCTTCTCTACTTTCGTCACCTGTTCTCCCACTAACGTAATCGGACACCGAGCCGGCGCGACACCGAGCCGGCGGCGGTCTGCCGCCGCCTCGCTGACTGCCTCGCTGGCCGCTTTCTAAGGCTATTCAACCACCAAAAAAAAGCTATATATATTAATTCTTGTTATTTTTATAAGGATATTTTAAATAATTGTATTTTTTACTTCTACATATACTGCAGCAGGCTGGCCGGCATGCCCTGGCCGGTCTTAATACTACAGTTTAAATTATTTTATTTTCTTATATCTAAGCTATATTAAAGCCCTTTTAGCCTGTTAAAGTACCTCCCTGCTGTATATAACAGTATAAGGCCTTTTCCTTTTTTTTTTACTTATTTATATAGATTAAAACTACTTAACTTATTATTAAAGCAGAACTGTGTTTTGTATAGACTATTCCGCAGCCTTAATTATCTTTTTAATAACTTTATATAAAACTATTAATACCAGGCCTTAATCTGTAAGTTTTTGTATTTCTTATCTCTGCCTTCTAAGTTTATATAGATTTACAGGCATTTTTCTAAAATAGAAAAACTAATTAGAATATAAGAATATTAGTAGAGTTGGTGTTTTTAATTAAATCTATAGTATTAAAAGCACCTCTTAAAAATTTAAAAAAATAAGGCCGGTAGTATAAAATCTACTAAGTATATTAATATTAAAAAAGGCCTTAGTATAGATACTATAATATAACTGTAAAAAATTAAGCTTAGTAATTAATTTCTTTTTATAATAAATAGTTTTAGATATATACTGGCTATATAACTTTTTTAATAGCCTAAAGCAAGCAACATTAAGTAGCTGCAGTTTATAGAATAAGTAGACTGTTAAGGGAAAATGGGTCGGTTAGGTATAGAATAGTAGCAGTCTATTGATTTCAAGACTAATCCTTGCTATCCTGAAGGTATAGCAAGATTCTAGGAGTTAAATACTAAAGGGGAATTTGTTACAGGACAGACCTGCAATACTTGCTGTATGTGACTGCAGCCTTTTGTTAAGGGAAAATGGGTCAGTTAGGTATAGAATAGTAGCAGTCTATTGATTTTAAGACTAATCCTTGCTATCCTAAAGGTATAGTAAGATTCTAAAAGTTAAATACTGAAGGGGGTTTTTAATCGTTAACATCACAACTCCTCTGTTAGAAATATGTGGGGAAGCTGTTGGTGGTTTACTATACTCTTAAGAATTATCTATAATAATTAGGCCCCTCTTTATATGCAGCTGTCCTCAGTAGTATAATAGCAGTATAATAGTACTATTTTAATAGATAAGCTAATCTGTTTTGATAAATATAATAGTAGTAGGCAGTACTTTTCTAAAGCTAGTTTTAGTTAGATATAATTATTATAATTTAAAACTATTCTGTTTTAGAAATATAATGGTTTTTTGTATAAAATATTAATATTATAATTATATATTAATATTTATACTAGATAATTCTTTTATTATCTAACTTTATTACTGTCGTGCTTTGTTTATATTTCTATATTATTTTTATTATTTATTATTTTTAAATCTACTTTATAAGTATAAGTATATATATTTTTATATTTTTAGTACTACTAAGATGCTAACAGATTATTATAAACTTATTAATAAATTAAGATATTTGTATTATTAACTCTCTGTTTTTTAGCCGTCCAGCCCTTTTTTTTTATATTATATAGTACTTAAAGTGCTTGTATACTTTAGTTAAGAATTTTAATTTTATTAATAAAAAAAACTTCGTGCTCTGCTGTATTTTTAATATAGTATTATTAATAAAGTACTAATAATATACTACTAGAAAGACAAACTATAGTTTAATAAGTTTTTTTTTTTTTAAGTTTATTCTATTTTTTTTATTCCTATACTATTTTAGTATATAAATTAAATATAGGTTAGACAGCTATAATAATATTTAGAAATACTATTAATCTTACTATAGTTTTAAAATAAGCTGATTTCTTTTAGAATACTAAAAATAAAAAAGTCTAAAATCTAATATTATACTATTTAGTTGCCTGTACTGCTGCTGCCCTGGCCGGTAAATTTATTAATATAAAAAAAGTATATTATATAAAGTATTATATTTCTACTACTATAAAAAAAGCTATAGCTGTGAGTTTTAGTATTAATATAATAAATAAATACTAATAGTTTAATAGAAATATACAGATATTTACTATAGTTTTATATTTAAATACTATATTCTAGCTGCTTAGACTAAAGATAATTCTAAATACCTCTATCTTCTGTCCAGTAATACCGGCTATTTATTTTAGTTGGTAGCAGTAGTTACTTTTTTAAATAATATTATTTAAAAGGTTATCTGCCTATATTTAGATAGGCAGAGGGCAGAAAAACTGTTAGTATAGATTCTACTAAATAATTTTTTTATAAAATTAAATAAAAGTCTGTAGGATTAATATTATTTTATTAGTATTTGTAGCTTATTTTAATATTTTTATACTTTTATAATACTATTTTACCCTATTAAATATATATAATCTGGGTTTTTATTATTATTTTTTCTATAGTTTCAATATATAGTTGTAAACAAAATAAATATATAATATTATTAATTTATATTTTTTTTATTATAGTTTATATGCACGTTGCGGATGCTTTATAGTTATTTTATTATTTTTACTATATATTAATCTTAATCTATGTTTTATAAAGTAGGCAACTGCGCCCTAATTATTAAACTTTTAAATTTTTTACTAAATATTTATTAAATTCTCTGCCGGTAACTATTAATTATATTCTAAAAACTATTTTTATTATTTTATTAGATAGAACTAGTTTTTTTAGTAGTATAGGCTGTTTAATATTTATTCTATCTTTTACTTTTTATTTTTATTTAGATCTGGT